TGCTTATACCAGCAGCGAAGAAGCCTGAAGAGTAAGAGGTGATGAACTCTCGAAAGGCATTTTCCACAGCTAGTTGAGAATTGAATATTTTTCCTTGCAAGAAGTGATCCAGGGCCGGGCGCGGTGGCTCACGCCTGTAATCCTAGCACTCTGGGAGGCCGAGGGGGACGGATTGCTCGAGGTCAGGAGTTTGAAACCAGCTTGAGCAAGAGCAAGACCCCGCCTCTACCATAAATAGAAAGAAATTAATTGGCCAACTAATATATATAGAATAAATTAGCCGGGCATGGTGGTGCATGCCTATAGTCCCAGGAGGGACTGAGACAGGATTGCTTGAGCCCAGGAGTTTGAGGTTGCTGTGAGCAGGCTGATGCCACGGCACTCACTCTAGCTGGGGCAACAAAGTGAGACTGTATCTCAAAAGAAGTGGTCCAAAGCCTGGAAGAAGTGGTAGTCAGTTGGTGTAGGGTCTGGTGAATATGGTAGATGACAGAATTTCCAAGTCCAGCTTCTGTAGTTTAGCAGTGTTATTTTTTACATGTGGTCTTGTAAGAAGATTGGCCTGTCTCTATTAACCAATCTTGGCTGCTTAATCGCAAGCATTCTCATCATTTCATCCCATTGATTGTAGTAGATATCCACTGTAATCACTTGACCAAGTTTCATGAAGCTCTATCGGATAATACCAGCACTGGACCACCGAACAGACACCATTAGCTTTTTTTGATGAATATTCAGTTTTGGACTGTGTTTTGGCACTTCATGTTTATCCAACCATTGTGCCAAATGCTTGCAGTTGCCAAAAAGAATCCATATTTCATCACACATAATATGGTGTAGAAATGGTTTGCCTTTATGTCATGACAGCAAAGAAAGGCAAGCTTTGAGATGATTTCTCATCTGATGCTCGTTTAATTCATGTGGTATCCATCTATCCAACTTCTTTACCTTGCTGATTTGTTTAAAATGGTCCAATATTGTTGGAATAGTAATGTCAAACCTTGCTGCTAATTCACACATAGGTTGAGATGGATTCACCTCCCTTACAGCTTTCAGCTTATTATCCACCTTGTTCTCAGGTCACCTATATGATTCATTTTCAAAATTAAAATCACTAGAATGGAACTTCTCAAACAATGGCTATATTATGCGTTCATTAGCCACATCCTTCCCAAACACTTTTTTGATATTTTGAGCTGTTTGCACTGCATTGGTTCCATGAAGGAACTCATCTTAAAAAACAACACAAATTTCTGACTTACCCATAGTTTCAGAAAAATTACTAAAAAAAAAAAAAAAAATTGAAAGCTAACAACAAATCAAAACATGCATTTGGAAGAATGAGAATGTACTTTCACAATAATAATAAAAAAAAAGTGTCAAAGTGAAATGTCAGACATATCAACTGTCAGACTTAGTACTTAAGGAAATCAGACAGTCCATACTTAGTAACCTAATACTTTGTTGTGATATCAAATATTGTTCATTCTATCTAACTATATCTTTGCAACCATTAACCATCCCCACTTTATCCCATTTTCCCTGGTATCCTTCCCAGCCTCTGGTAGATGTCATTCTACTCTCTGTCTCCATGAGATCAATTGTTTTTAATATCTAGCTCCCAAATATGAGTGAAAACATGTGAAATTTGTCTTTCTGTGCTTGGCTCATTTCACTTAACGTAATTAAACTATAATATTTCAAAACATAGCATTAATTGGAGCAACTTTCAATAATTTTACACTAACATGGCATAATTTAGTATTAAAATTTACCAAAGATTGAATTCCAATTAAAGTTATGGAAAATTTAATATTTACCTTCTGGTGAAATATTAATATTCTTACAGGAATAGTTTATAAGTCTTCTATAATGATTTCATGTTTTTCAGTGTGAGGTCAAAAATATTTTTTACATAATTGGCTTTAGCTTTCTCAAAAATGTAGAGATACGGTACTCAATGTATACTTTCAAATAAAATGCACATGGTTTTCATGAAATTTTACTCCATTTATAGAAATACGTGTGGGCCTGATGCACTGGCTCACACTTGTAATCCTAGCACTCTGGGAGGCCGAGGCGGAAGGATTGCTTTAACTCAGGAGTTTGAGACCAACCTGAGCAAAAGCCAGACCCCGTCTCTACTAAAAGTAGAAAAATTAGCTAGGTGTGGTGGTGTGCACCTGTAATCTTAGCTACTCAAGAAGGCTGAGGCAGGAGGATCACTTGAGCCCAGGAGTTTGAGGTTGCTGTGAGCTAGGCTAACACCACAGCACTCTACCTGGGGCAACAGAAGGAGACTATGTCTCAAAAAAAAAAAAAAAAAAAACACATTTTATCCCAATAACCTATAAATGTTATATTCTAAGTTATATGAAATGACTCATTCTGTAGTTTGCCTTTAACTCAGTTTGCCACTGTGGTACTTTGCATACTTAGGAACTTTTAAAATCTTTTAAATGATTATTGGGATGAAATATTGGGCTTTTAGATTCTAGATTCAAAGCAAAGCAATTTTGGGAACAATTAGCACAGCTGTTCATTGATTTATTATTGAAAGTTGAAGGAGTTTCTTGATATATGCAGTCTCATTTAAATGTATATATTTAAAAAACATGAATATAACATCTACATTTGAAAGTAGACTTCTGTAGCTTAGTTCCCATTATGGCTTAAAATGAAAGAGGCTCATAGGTGAAAGTGAGTTACTGATTTGGGGAAAAAATAGGATTTTTTACTCTATTTCAAAACAAAACAGTGACAACACATTTTTTACTTCATTCAATTTTTAATTCATTTTAATTGTTTTAAAATCATAAAATAATATATTGTCATTATAATAATCAATGCAAATATACAGGTTCTGTTAATATGCACATTGTAAACCCTAGAGCAACTACCGGAGAGAAAAAGAGAGAAGAAGTATAGCTAATAAGAGATAAAATAGAAGGGAAAAAAACCCCCAATTAATCCATAAGAAGGTAGGAAAGAATTTAAAAAGGAATAAAGAACAGGACAAATAGAAAGAAAATGGCAACATCATAGATTTAAATCTAGTCATGTTAATAATTACATTAAATGTAAATTAACTAAACACTCCAATTAAAAGATAGTCTGGATTAACACAATACGCTCAATGTATACTGTATACAACAAATACATTTTTGGGCTGGGCGCAGTGGCTCACGCCTGTAATCCTTGCACTCTGGGAGGCCGAGGCAGGAGGATCGTTCAAGGTCAGGAGTTGGAAACTAGCCTGAGTGAAAGTAAGACCCTGTCTGTACTAAAAATAGAAATAAATTAATTGGACAACCAAAAAATATATAGAAAAAAAAAATTAGCCGGGCATGGTGGCACATGCCTGTAGTCCCAGCTACTTGGGAGGCTGAGGCAGAATGATTGCTTGAGCCCAGGAGTTTGAGGTTGCTGTGAGCTAGGCTGACACCATGGCACTCTAGCCTGGGCAACAGAGTGAGACTCTGTCTCAAAAAAAAAAAAAAATACATTTTTTAGATAGATTAAAAATTGAAGGTTAGAAAAAGATATATCATGCAAGCATTAATCATAATAAGGTTTGACAAAGGATTATCAGAATTGATAAAGGAGGACATTTCATAATGAAGTAGCTTACATTGCTATGGGACAAAAGGAAATTAAAAATAATAGCAGAGATGTAGAGATGTCCAGGTTTCTACTGAAAATTTTCTTTTCATTTTCTCTCTCTCTCTCTCTCTCTCTCTCTCTCTCTCTCTCTCCCCTTTCTCTTTCTTTCTTTTTTTTTCTTTTTTTTTTTTTGAGACAGGGTCTCGCTTTGTCACCCAGGCTAGAGTACAGTGGCCTCATCATAGCTCACTGCAGCCTTGAACTCCTGGGTTCAAGTGATCCTCCTGCTTCAGCTTCCCGAGTAGCTAGGACTACAAGCATGTGCCACCATGCCTGGCTAATTTTTTTTCTACTTTTTGTAGAGATGGGATCTTGCTTTTGTACAGACTGGTCTCGAACTCCTAGCCTCAAGTGATCCTTCCATTTCAGCCTCCCAAAATACTGGGATTATAGGCATGAGCCACTGTGCCTGGCAAAAGAAATTCTTAAATGTTTTCATTTCCCCCACATCTTTAGAATATCAGGAAGCAGGACAGTGCTTAGAATGCAAAATGAAGAGGTTAACATTGGTAGTTAAGTTAACATTGATAGTTCTGATTATGAGATTGAAAATTAAGAATTCATAAGAGCACAAAACAGAAATAATCATTGAACCATCCTAAATATTTCTGTCTATGTTCTATTTAACAATCTATTAACAATAAATAACTAGTGATATTACCCTGTTCAAGTAAAGTAAGCTCAGAATTAAGGTTTTATGTTGTCTGAGAATATAGCCACCTGAGGTCAAACCTTGCCAGAGTACAATATTTTACTATGACAGTAATTCTAAAATATCAACTGTTATGGAAATTTTAAAGAGAAGTAAATGAGTTTGGGTAGATGAAAACATCTGAAAATGAATGGTAGTGATGGTTGCACAATAATGTAATTGTACTTAATAATGCTACTGAATTACACTCTTAAAAATGGTTAAAGTAATAAATCTGAGCTGGGTGAGGTGGCTCATGCCTCAATCCCATCACTTTGGGAGGTTGAGGTGGGAGGATTGCTTGAGAACAGGAGTTCAAGGTTGCAGTGAGCTATGTTCATACCACTGTACTCCACCCTAGACAATAGAGCAAGACTCTGTCTTTAAACAAACAAATAAAAACCCCAAAAGAATAATCACATTAAATTTGCATTTATGTTGCATTGAATATTTTAATATCCTAACAGAAAGCAAATTTAGAATATCTTGGTAGCTTTTAGACAATATTTGTTTAGTCACTTAAAATTTGAATGTCAAAATTCTGAATATTTTTCCCCAAATATTTTAATTATAAATTTTTAAGAATTGAAAGTTTATGTTGAAAGCCTTTTAAAGAGAATTTTACTGATATGTTTTTTAAAAATAGGTTCCAATTTATTGTGCCTAAAGAATGGAACAGCAAATATAGACCTGTCTGCATTCATCTTGCTGGAACAGGAGATCATGTAAGACTTTATTGTAATGCCTTAATCTCTATATATTTTGTTAATATATTCTCCTTAACAGATGTGGTTATTATATTCTTTAAGTATGTCATCTTTTCTTTCCTTAGCATTACTGGAGGCGACGAACACTAATGGCCCGTCCTATGATTAAAGAAGCCCGAATGGCTTCTTTATTATTAGAAAACCCTTATTATATCCTTTTGGGATACCTAAGAAATCATTTATCTTGTTTATTTATATAGTCATCAAAAGGAATAATAGATAGTAACCAATTTACCTAAACCAATTAAATGTAGTCATCAGTTCAGAAAATATTTAAGAAGCAACAATGAAAAAGAATTTTGAAAGATTGTTTCATGCCTTTTAAAAGCTAATATAAGGATTATACTTCGATTGTACTATAAAATATAAATTGTACGTCTATTTCTTGTGAGACTTAATGGTAGATTTTAATATTAATAAGCCAAATGTTTGCTATTAAGGAAACATTTATGTTTTAAATGCATTTACAGTATCAGCTGAGGTTTAGAACAGTTCTTAACTTAATTTTCAAGATGACATCAGACTATTCACAGAAGAAGAAATGAAACTAATGCACAGATATAAAGAAATGTTCAACATTGCTGGTAATAAAAGAAATGTTAACTTAAAGCAATAATTCCCAAAGATTGGAAAAAACCCTATAGTACTGGTGAGGCTACTGTGAAATGGACATTCTCATTACTGATGACTGAAAATCAGTTCAATCCTTTGAGAAAACATTTTTACCAGGTGCATCAAGAACCTTGAAACATCTCACATCCCTTGACAGTGATTTTGATTCTGGGAAATTTATTCTAAGGCTAAAATACTAATAAAAAAGAAAATTATAGAAAAAATATATATAGTTTTATTTATCATAGTAAAGTATTAGAAGTAGCTAAATGTCGACCATAGAGAAATGGTTAGGTAAAAGTGGTTCACAATATTGGAATTTTATGCATTTCATTGTGTTACATTTATTTCTCTACCACTTACTACCTTTGTGATATTGGATCTGTTACTTAACCTTTTAGTACCTTAATTTTCTCATTGGTAAATGGGAATAATCTCTTAGGTTATTGAGAGTATTAAATACTTGATACTGTCCAAAACAGTACTGGGAAATAATAAGCATTCAGTAAGTTTTAACTGTTAGTTGTTATTAAAAAGTAACATAGGCCGGGCGCGGTGGCTCACGCCTGTAATCCTAGCTCTCTGGGAGGCCGAGGCGGGCGGATTGCTCGAGGTCGGGAGTTCAAAACCAGCCTGAGCAAGAGCGAGACCCCGTCTCTACTATAAATAGAAAGAAACTAATTGGCCAACTTATCCAACAAAATTAGCCGGCATGGTGCACATGGCCTGTAGTCCCAGCTTACTCAGGAGGCTGGAGCAGCAGGATCGCTTGAGCCAGGAGTTGAGGTTGCTGTGAGCTAGGCTGACGCCACGGGCACTCACTCTAGCCTGGGCAACAAAGTGAGACTCTGTCTCAAAAAAAAAAAAAAAAGAAATACTACTTAATATCTATTGGGAATTGAGGAAGGACTCTTTCCAACTAACAAATGGGGAAACAGGTGACTTCCTATCTCTGCAGTAGCATATTTTTACTGCATAATTTATTTTGATGGAATACTATAAACTCCCAAGTGATGTACCTTGATACCCGTTTTTTTCTTCCTTACCCCCTATTTTTGGACAGCAGTTTATCTCATTGCATTAAAATATGAGAATGTACAAATAAAAAAAGAAGAAAAAAATTATTGCAAGGAGGGATAACTGCTATTTTCTGTATATTCTTCTAGTCTTTTTTCTATGTATGCACATAAAACTGTGTTTATTCTCTTTTGACCTAAATAATCAGTGATATGCCGTCTATCATCATGTTAATGTTGCTTATATTCCATACCGTGGCTCTACCATAATTTACTAATTCCTTATGGTTGGCATTTAAATTGCATTGGTTTTCATTATTATAAACAACATCACAATGAGCATCCTTGTATACTTCTCTTTGCCTACTTCTCTGAGTATTCTCTTGCCATAAGTTACTACATGTAGAGTTTCTGAGTTTATAGGATTTGCACATCAGACAAGACCACAGGAGACAAGGAAAAATAACAAAAGAAAAAAATTTGCACAGATTTTTAAACTTTTGATCACATTGTCATATAAGTATAAATAAGAAAGTGTTAATAATGCTATATTAAGTTTAGATTAATTCACAAGGAGAAACCTATTTGTCCTATTGTCATTTGGTTGGTTGCTCATGATTCTGGTTCTTTTTCACAGTTCCTGTTTTTATTGAGGTAGAAAAAATATACTAGACAAATGACATAAGGGAACTCAAGTATTCTTTTTCCTTAATGTTTTAAGACTGCTTAATATCTGTCTATAGTGACAGGGTAGAAAGACCACAGACTCTGGATTTCCCTATGTAATGTGAAGTTGTAAATTGTCATGTATCTTGCGGAATCCCATATTGGAAATGTACTTATGTCAAAATTCCAAATTATAATATATATATATATTTTTTTTTTTTTTTGAGACAGAGTCTCGCTTTGTTGCCCAGGCTAGAGTGAGTGCCGTGGCGTCAGCCTAGCTCACAGCAATACTTTAATAACAACTAACAGTTAAACTTACTGAATGCTTATTATTTCCCGAGTACTGTTTTGGACAGTATCAAGTATTTAATACTATCAATAACCTAAGAGATTATTCCCATTATCCAATGAGAAAATTAAGGTACTAAAAGGTTAAGTAACAGATCAATACACAAAGTAGTAAAGTGATTAAAGGTAGAAAAATAATAGTCTCTCCC